AACTAAAACCACACTGAAATGCCGTTTCACAGCCACTAGGATGACAGCACACAATAACAACAACAGCAACAGGGTGACTATTATTTAAAAAAAAAACCCAGAAAATGACAAGTGTTGCCAAGGTTGTAGAGAAATTGGACCTCTTGTCCATTGCCAGTGGGGATGTAAAATGGTGCAGCCACTGTGGAAAACAGCTGGGCAGCTCCTCAAAAAGTTAAACATAGATTTAACAAAAACCTGTTGCCCTCGAGTCAATTCCGACTCATAGTGACCCTTTAAGACGGAGCAGAACTGCCCCATTGCGTTTCCAAGGAGCGGCTGTTGCATTTGAACTGCCAGCCTTCTGGGTAGCAGCCTGAGCTCTTAACCACGGGGGCACCAGAGCTCCAGATTTACCACATTACTCCATAATTCCACTCCTAGGTATAAATCCAGAAAAACTGAAATCAAGGACTCAAAGAGATACATATATGCCAATGTTCATAGCAGCATTATTCACAATAGCCCGAAGGTGGAAACAACCCACGTGTCCATCAGCAGATGACGGGATTAACAAAACATGGTACTAAACCTATTGCCATCGAGTCGATTCCAACTCATAGGGACCCTATGGGGCAGAGCAGAACTGCCCCCATAGGGGTTCCAAGGAGCAGCTGGTGGATTCAAACTGCTGACCTTTTGGTTAGCAGCTAAGCGCTTAACCACTGCGCCACCAGGGCTCCGAATATGGTACAAACATACCATAAAATCTTATTTAGCCGTCAAGAGAAATGAACTTCTGATACATGCTCTGACATGGATGAAACGTGAAACCATCACACTAAGTGAAATAAACCAGATACAAAAGGACAGACAGTGCATGACGCGTCCTAAGGGAGCTACGCAGAACAGGTGAGTTCCCGAGACAGAGACGCAAAGTAGGATAGGGGTCCCCAGGGACGGGGTGGGGGATAATGGTAGCTACTGCTTAATGGGTACAGACCTTCTGTTTGGGATGATGAAAGTGTTCTGGAAATACAGATGGTGGTAATGGTTACAACACTGTGGATGTGCTTAATCCCACTGAATTATATACTTAAAAATGATTAAAACTGTAAATTTTATGTTAGGTACATTTTACTACAATAAAAAAAGAAATGTAAAAAAAAAAACCCTTACCAAAAAATGGGTCAACTATGGCTAAAGGAGAACAGGAAAGTGTTGCCGCGTGTGATGGAGGTCTTACCATGTCTCTGCGCTTCTTTCACAAAAACATCCTCCAGAGCTCTCCTCCTGTGACACAGAGGGCCCACGGTAAGGACATTAGTGGCAGCACCCCGACAACGGCAACATACTGGTGTTTCTTGCCCCAATCTGACAGCCTTATCCACCTACTCAACCTTCTGGCTGCATCTGCTACTTCTCAATTCGTGCCCAGGTCCTGATGACCAGCAAGACTGTCAAAATGTGCTGCTGATCTCCAAAATATTTCCCCCAAAAGCCCGTCACTCAGAAGACCAAGGTTAAAAAAATGTAAAAGAAGTTTTATTTGAAAGGTGTCGGTCTTTAACAATAATCCATGACACTCTGGAAGGAGCCCTGGTGGCAGAACCGTTACGCACTCGGCTGCTAACCTAAAGGTTGGTAATTCAAACCTACCCAGCAGCTCTGTGGGAGAAAGACCAGGCGATCTTCTGTAAAGATGATAGTCTAGAATACCCTATAGGGCAGGTCTACTGTCACATGGGGTCACTAAGAGTCGGAATTGGCTCAAGGGCACACAACAACGAGACACTCTACAAGCATAAATAGCTGTAGCCTTAACATGATGGAACACACTACAGGTCAGTTTTGATGTACAGGAGGTCTACTGGTTAAAAAACAACATAGCTAGTAGCCTGCTTCCTACAGAGGTGAATTACAGAGATCTTGGTGATTTCAGGCAAGTGGTAAAATCAAGAGGCCCAAAGAAAGGGAGGACCCCACTCTCCTCTCCTTCACTCTCTTACACACACTATGGCATTATATACTCAAAGCCTACAAAACACAAAAATAGAAATTTCTCTGGAACAGGTTTTTTTCTTTTAGCCAGAGGACTTGAGAAACCCAAGCGGGAGGGAACAGGGCATTTCGCAGACCCCTGTGTTTCTACGTTGTTAAGGAAGGAGGTTCACAGCCTTCCTTCCATCTTCCTTCTTTAGTAATTATTACGTTACAACGCAGAGATCTCCTCTCCCCCCCAAGGCCAGCGTGTCAGTGCAGGCTCCTGTTTGATCCGCGAGGATGCAATTCCCATGGTTGAGCGTCTTTGCAAGCTCAAGCAAATCAGATTAACGGCTGTAACTTTGTCAACACACAGGCCAAGGCCTGCTGAGAATAAAAGCTGATTTTTAAGACAGATACTATGTGTATCTAAAAATAATGGCTCTTTTTAAAACTAGGTCCCAATAGGAGATTAGGAGCAACCCCCCAAACATGATCAAACCGCCAACAGTGGAATCACTGCATGTTCTTAAAAATCTCTGATGTATTTTCACAATTATACAAATAAAGTTTTAAGAAAATGATGAAAGGCATGACCATCTAAAATACACACTGCCTGGGATAACATGCCTGAGTCCAAATCTTTCGCCATAAACCCAGACCCGGAGTCACGGTGTGCGAGGTAGGGAAAAACCACTTCTGAATTCTCTCTCGGGGTGTCTGCTATCATCACATCAAGTCCCAGTCCGTTCCCACCCCCTTCCTTTGCGGAAAGTTTCACCAGTTTTATGCTGGAGAGGAAGGCACGCCAGGATGTGCAAGCTATCCCCAAACAATCACTGGGCCCACAAGACTAAATGACTTATTTCATTTGTGTAGGCAGGTTAAGCCTGTGACCCAGGCCCGATCAGTCACCGTTCTGCCCTCTGATTCCTCACTTTGGAGCTGGAGGAGAAGGGAGCTTCCCTTGGGTTACAGAGCTAGAAGGATGTGAATCTAGAGCTTCTGAAGGCACCAAGAGCATGGCATCTGCGACAGGAAAGGAGGCCAGCACAGAGAAAGAAGGGCAGAACCAAAAGACAGACTCATGAGACCGAGACAAAGAGACAGAAAACAAGCTAACAACCTCCAAAGCTTCTGAATCTCAGGATCCAGCTGGGAACTGGCCAGCTTCCCCATCAAGATATTAGACCCTGGTGTGGCTCAGTTATGTGAGGAAAAAAAAATGCTCGTTTTTGCTCAGGATTCTTTCTGTTGGATTTCCATCCCATACAACAGAAAGGATCCTAACTTCTTATATGATCATTGACAATATACTCTAAATTTCAAAGTATCCCCATTAATCTCGCTTTCTAAATAGAAAATTGAACCACCCACATATTCAGTAATAATTGTTTGCTGTTTTCCACAAGAAAAAGGAGAAATATATTATTCTTAGAGAAGAAAAATATCATAACACGCATTCTTCCATACTGGCAAGTTAGAGTTTCTTCAATTCCCAGGGACACTTGAAGAAAAGCAGTTTTGCTTCCCCTGGGCAGAAGCCAATGCATTTACTAGTGATTCTGGACAAAGTACAATTCACTAAGTCAGTGGACTGAACAGCCAGAGAGGAAGGAGCAGTCAAGGACAGGCTCAGAGGCCCAGAAACCTTCTCCAAAGCTGCATCTTTAATGCATCGTAACTAAGTGCTTGCTAAGCACTTGCAGAGTCTGGTGAGAGAAATGTCTGTCCCAACACAGGTGGCTTCAGTCAGTGCCACCTCCTGAAACAGTCCTGTAAGGAAGCCTAAAGACTGTCATCTTCCATTACCATCATCTCTGAGATACAAATAGGATGGAGAAAGAAAATGGGAAAGAATGCGCTTTTTAGGGACAGAACCCTGGGCTTTATTATCCTTGTTGGCTAGCATTATTAACGGCAGTTACCATTCCTTCGCCACTTACTACTTGCTAAGAACTACTAAGCATTTTACTTATATTACCTCATTTACTCCTCACAGCTTCCCCTCTGAGGCAGGTAATATTAAACCCATTTTACAGATGAGAAACCAAAGTTCAAGAGGGTAAGTGACTTGTCAAAGTCACTTAGCTAATAAGTGCAAGTGGCTTTGGCAGGATTTGAAGCCATGTCTGACAGATTTCTGAATATACCCATTATAATATGCTGCCTCCCAGCTCTTATGCACTGTTCCCCTCCCCTGAGGCCACTGCTTCCTAGTTCCTGTAGGATATCTAAGAGCATTTCATCCCTTGGTCCTCCTACTAGGCTATCAACGTTGAAACACAGGAGAATAATCATTGGACACCTCTGATCAAGAGACTTGAGACAAACATAACACGTTTAAAGCAACAGCTCCCATAATGCCAATTAATCTGGCACGCCATCCTCAACTTTACTGTTTTTCCTCCTGAAAACGACTGAGATCCAAGAGATATTACAGTAAGCCCTAGGAACACCTAAGTTCTAGCTACCGAATCCCAATGGAGTGCCCACTCGGTGCCACCTGCTGTAGACAACACAATCCTCCCTCTAGTAACTCAGATCCCCCATGGTGGCAAAGCACATCATGCCACATAGCCCATATGCAAACACGGAGCATCCTTTAGTACACTGGGTGCCACCATGAAAGAAAGTCAGATGCTGGGCTACTGGACCTGGTCCCCTTAAAGGCCTGGGTCTGGACATTCCCCTCTCTCTGACTGAAGCAGCCACAGTGCACAGGAACAAGAACTCCTGGCCTCTGCATCAGCCCATCGGGAGTGTGGATGCCAATGTCAGTCTGCAGGAGTCAGCAAGCAGCAGTGTGGCTGATGAAAACAAAGGGTTTTCTCTGGCAACCTCAACCGCACATGGGGATAAGGAAGGTCCACCTCCCCTCACACCCTGCTCCCAGCTACCTGTCCTTGAGTTCAGTGAGGGCTTGGCTCTGGCCTCAGGGAGCAAGGGCATTGCTTGCTATTTGCGGAGGTCAACACTTACATGCCTGAACAGAGTCTGCTTATGCAGAACCCCCCCGAGAGCTCGGATGGCAGACGTCAGATGCCGCTGATGGTGGTGGCGGTGGTCGTGGTGATGCTAATGAAGAAAAAGAAGAAAACCGGTGATGGGAGTGTCACCTATAAACGCAAACACAAAACAGCAACAGCGATCCTAGTCACTGCCAGTCATAATCATGAATCAGCTTCCATTGCCACCCCAAGCCCACTGCGGTGCTCCCCCCGAGCCTCTGAGCCAAGCACACCCAGCTTCAGGCGCTGCATCCCCCTTCGCCCGCCTGTGCACCCTTCCTGTGCCAGGCCGGGAATGAGACTGCACTGGCGGGGCAAGGGGGCTGGGACCCGAGTGGGAAGGACAGGAGTTCTGTAGTGAGGAGCGTTGGGGTGACCCAGAGGCCCCACCAACGCACCTCGAAGCAGCCTGGGTGGGGCGCTGGAGGAGCGGACGTAGAAGGGGAGAAAGATAAGGTAGCCGGGCAAACGGATTTGACGCCTCGCCCCGAGAGCCCTGCAGCCCGGGGAGGCGGAGCAGGCGGCCGTGGTGGTGAAGAAGAGGCGGGGCCGACGGCCAGCAGGACACACCATGCTCTCTTTACCTGACCAGGTGCAGCACCGCGCCGGCTGCAGCGAGGACGCGCCGCTCTAGCCGAGAGCCCAGGAAGCGGCCGCTGCGCCGTCCTCCGCCGAAGCCACGCCCCCCCCACGCCCCCAGCCTCGAGCCCCGCCTCCCTAGCACGCGCCGGCCGGACCGGCTGTTTGGGGGAGGTGAGAAGTGAATTGATTGGCACAGCCATCGGCCAATCGACACGTGCAGCGGCGCCCGGACCTGCAGGTAGGAAGGCGGGCCGGAGGGCCGCTGCGCCCAATCAGCAGCCGAGCCGCTGGGCCTGGCTGGGGTGCCAAGCGGTGACCGGGCGCAGGGAGGGCTTGGCTGCGGGGTCTGAGGCGGTGGTCGCTAGGCTAGGTCTGACGTGGACCTGCTCGGCACGGCCGGTCGCCGGTACCGTGTGTGGCTTAGAGACAGCTGGCCGGCTCCCGGCCGCCTCCCGGGCGCACGCTCTGGGCCGCTTCACCGCTCTGGAGGGAGGGAATCGTGGCTCCCACGGTCGCCGAGGTTCCCGCCCTGGGAGACCCCGCAGGGTTGGGCCGCCCGCGGGTCTGGCCGGCGCCCCTTGGCCCTGCACCCCAGCCTAGCCACGTGCTAAAAGTAATGGAAGTCCCACGGAAACCCGAACCGTTACGTTAGTCTCCCACCACCACCCCTACAGCCGCCTCTTTAACCGGAACTTCTGGCCGGTCGACAACAGCAAAACCCGAACCCCGTGGAGTCCGTTCTGGCTCATGGCGACCCCATGTGTTACAGAGTAGAACTGCTCCAGGGGCTTTCTTGACTGTAATCTTCAGGGAAACATGGGCAACATCGCCAGGTCTTTCTTCCTAGGTGCTGCCGGGTGGGTCTAACCTTTAGGTTAGTAGACAAGCTTAAACCGTGTGCACCTACAGGGACCTTATTGCTTTGACTACTTGAAGTTCAAAGCTAAATCGGTTTGGGCTGAACAACAACGACAGTAGAAGGGCCTTGGTGATCCCGAAAAGGAGGACTGAGTTTGGAGGTCAAGAGACTTGGGTGTCACAAGCAAGGTTACCTGCTTGTTGGAAAACCGAAGAAATTCAAGGTTTTGTTGGCCGCCGTTTCTGCGCTGCTGAATTGGGACTTTGACGCTAACGTAAGATCTTGTTGCCATGGTTTCTGTGCTGCTGAATTAGGGTAGACCTTGATGCCAAAGTAAACCATTTTGCCCCAAATAACTTTTATCGTTAACTGAAATGAACTACCGTCAAGCCTTTCGTAGAAGTATTTGGGACCTAATGATATAGTGATATATGTGGGTTGGGGAGCATTTAGATCTGTTCCAAGTAGGTAAGCATGAAAGGGCATTGCCTTTAAGCTGCTCCCTGATGCATGGAAAATTTATCATCCATCTTTCTTGCTTGTTGCTGTTGAGTCGATTCCAACTCATATCGACCCTATAGGACGTAGTAGAACTGCCCCATAGGGTTTCCAAGGAGCGCCTGGTGGATTTGAACTGCTGACTTTTTGGTTAACAACCATAGCTCTTAACTAGTACGCCACCAGCCATCTGGTGCTAGAAAATGGAATTTTGTCCTGAAGTTTCATTTTTCAAATAATAAATGTGAAAAAGGCAAAGTATTTTAAAGTGATTTTTTTTCCTCAAAAAAAAAATTTTTCTAGAAATAAGAGTTTATGGGAACTAAGATTTATTCTAACTGGTTTAGTATTGGCCAAACACTGAGAGACACTTTCTATATGTTATATTTTTCAATCTTCACGTGTACCCGGTGAAAATCCTATTTTATAGGTAGGGAAACTGAGGCTCAGAGAGATCAAGTATTTGTTCCTGAGTCACATTAATGCTAGGTCCCTGCTGCTCCTGGTTAAAATGCATCATCATTATCAGTTAGAAGACGAGCTAGAAGCATGAACACAACTCTTCCTTCAAGCTTTTTTTTTTAACATGACAAACTGTCCTAGAGGGACCCAGTTCCCACACCACTGACTTTGTGACCCTGCAGCATTAGGTGCCCTTCCAAGAGGTAAGCGTCGCCTCTGAAACGTGTCAGGAGCAGCTCCAAGTCAGCTTTGCTCAGAGGAGGAAGCTGTGGTTTGATATGGATGGGAAGGAAGGAAGTTTTTCCAGGGCTTAAATCTAAACAGATTCTAACTGAGGTAGACGTCTTTTAAAGTAAGCCAACAGAAAATCACATCATGGCTATGAGAGCTTAGCCACGGAAGGAAAAAAAAAAGGTGATAACCCAAAGTCTATTCCAGGATTTTTTCATCGTTTTTCTGAAGAGATTCATAAATGCTTTTCTGACCTTTAGTCAAACCCAGACATATGTACTTGCTCTAAGGTTAGGAGGAAGAAATGAATAGGAAGTGGTGTAAAAAGGAGGAGGAGGAGAAGAACATATCTTTTTTCCCAAAGACCCTATTGATAAAAACAAAATATAAGTAAGTTAAAGGTTACAGATCAGCACAAAGGTACATCACCAATTAACAGATTAGTGGTGTAGACGTTTAGGCTTTGTCATGTTCCTCGTGTAACAGTATCTTAGTGCCTAATATATGTGGTGTGCTCTGCTAGACAATGAGGCCATACGGTTCAAAAAAACCCATTTCCTGACCTCGTTGAAGTGCAGGCTAGTTGAGGTCAACCTGGATCAGGCTCGAAGAGATCACTTTATGAACATAAAGGCTAGTCCTGACAACCACTCAGCAGGGTTGTGCCCATTTCACGGATGAGGAAACTGAGACATGAGAAGACAACTCACTTAAGGCAGCATAATTAAGAAAGAAAAGTCTTACTCCCAAGTCTTTCTGGCCCTGAGGCCCATACTTTTGCAGTAGACCATACTGCCCTCCTAAGGAAAGAGAGTGTCTCTGATAATCCCACTGAAATCTCCCCTCTCCTGAAATAACATGATGCAGTACCTATGAATTTTAAAATACTGAACTCAGTTGATTTTTTTTTTTTTTAAATCACAGTACCCTGCTCTCCATTTCTAAATGGTACTAAAAACATATAAAAGATGGTTCCTGACTACTTGGGGCTTACAGTACTCTTTACACGTCCTTTTTTTAAACCCCTAATGATAGGAAGAAGGATTTCGTGTAATTCACCATCCGTTTTCAAACTGTCTTTTTGTTTGTTTGTTTTGCCTCTAGGAGTAGCATCACTAGCTCACTTCTAGCAAAATGAGATAGTAAAGTTCACGCCAAAGTGTGGTTTGAAGACCAGCAGGAGTGACCTCATCCAAATGCTTGTTAGAAATGCAGAATCTCAAGCCCACTTTGGACCTACTTAATGAGAATCTGCATTTTTATAAGATCCCCCAGGAGACTGCTCCAAAATTTTAGGACGCTTTAGCCTGTGTGAAATGCTTTTAATAACCCCAGAATCTTACTTCCCAAAGAGGCTTGCTCCTGACCCCGGATCTGGTAGAAAAAGAGAAAAACAGAGACAGAGAGAGAAGGGGAAAGAAAAAAGGAGGGGAGAGACCTGCGGTGCAAATATTCACTTCTGCTTGTACCATCAC